AAACCATTTCAGGTGACTACCTCTTGAAGCTCATGGAGAGAATGCCAAGAGTGTGCAAAGCAGTAATCAGAGCAAAGGGTGGCTATTTTGAAGAAACTAGAATATAAAACATGTTTTCAGTTATTTCACCTTTTTTTGTTAAGTACATAACTCCACATGTGTTCATTCATAGTTTTGATGCCTTCAGTGAGAATCTACAATGTAAATAGTCATGAAAATAAAGAAAACACATTGAATGAGAAGGTGTGTCCAAACTTTTGGCCTGTACTGTATACATATATGTTATTGTTCAGACTTAGATATTTGACCCTACTTGTATGTGCCCCTGTATCAAAAGGACTGGCCCTAGCTTGGCCGCCCCATTGAAGGCAGGAAAGAGCTGTGGTTCCAGATGCAATCTTTGTTGTGTCCTTTGTTCCAAAGGTGAAACTCGGAGGAAGCTGGTCGCTCGAGGTCTTTGCAGAGTGAGATGCTGTGTGCTAACTCAACTTGGTTCTCCTTGTTGCTGGAAAGCTAGTTGCAAACCTTGTGCTTGCAAATCTAACTTCTCTGGTTCAGGTTTGCCTCTGCCTTTAGCATGGGCAAATCGTGGTCCAGGAAAAAGAGAGGCTGTGAGTAATTGCCCTCCCTTTAGTGGTTTGGGGCCATGGCCTCTGAGATGGTGTGAGCTGCTTGGCATGAAACAAGCTTAATATTATAAAAAAGTATAAATGGCAGAAACAACAACTTCCCACTTTGTAGATCCTGCACAGGTCCCAATGCCTACATGAATGGATAGAACTCAGTCCACAGGCTGAGAAGCCTAAGCTGGAATGACTCCTAAATTTTAATTAGCAGTGGGGAACATCCTGTAGAAACGTCCTGTAGAAAATATCCTGTTGATTAAAGTCTATTATTTTTCTCTTTTTGAGGTAAAAAAACAGAGGCGGATTTTTGCTCACAGTCCAGGTTGGGGGCACCTTAACACTTCATCTGCACCCACTACCCACACACTGGGGACACAGACCTGACTGACAATTGGTAAAGTATCCCTTATGGTTTTGGCCATTACATAAGGTTACAACATCAGCTCCACAATATTTACTGTGGCTTCCTAAATCAGTCATTTATTAATTTCCCTGTGCATGTGTTTCAAAGTCAGGATTAAGAGCTTACCTGTACATGTCGTTTCTGTGTTGGGCTCAGGGCATGGCTGGACAGGGTAGAAAACATCCCTCTCCCTCTGGATCTAAGAGAGAAAAGGAAGTAAATGAGGAAGATGAAGAATCATTTCTCTGTGGAACAGAACTGGTACATCAAAATGAAGGTCATTTAATTGTTTGGAGTATGTTTTCAATGTATTCTTTGTCGCACCAGTTTTCTGCTGTGGTACCAAACAACCATCTGCTGATTGTATGCAGCATTTCTCTGTGTATGAGCGTTTCCAGCATCACATCAATATTAAAAAATGATGTCTTCACACCCACTGGCTTCACATGTGAATGTTGAAAACACACCCCATCTCACACAAGCAGTGCCCCCTGTGTCCGTCTCACATGTTTGAGCTATACTAGAGGAACCGCCACACTCTCACACCAAAACATGCTCGCTGATGCACACTCACAGGTCACAAGCAAATGACTGTTCCACCCCTGCAACCATACACAGCCACTTTAGTGTAATTTCAGAAAAAATGTAGGGGGGCTTTTCTGTGAGACTTTTGTATTATACACACATAAATGATCCATATCTGAAACAAATCTGCAGCAGCTGATATGAATTGCTTCACATTTTTTTTCTTTATGAGGTCATTTAGAAAGAGTTTAAATACAACAAACTACACCCATTTCATGTTTGTATAATGTAAATATCAGGGGTTCTAAAATTGATCCTTGTTGGACACCTTTATCAACTATCTGTGGACTTGTCTTGGACAGAACTACAAAGAGTACAGTTCAGTGCTGCTTTTTATCAAGTAAGTCAACAAATCCTCTTAGAAGCATGACAACAACAAAAAATACTGACAGAAACCTTCGGCTATAATTTACACTTTCTAATGTCCACTGCCACCTGCTATTCACATGGTAAAAGAGGGCTCATGACCACTAGACTCACAAGTCAGTGTTTAGATGCTTTACTTAACTAAAGACTGATGACTTTCTCCCTGATCTTGTGTTTAGATGGGCGGATACAATTTCAGAGTTTAAAAAAACTCCCTACGTTGCAGAACCAATAGTAAATCTGCAGGGCGGTCCTTCGGTGGCTCGCTGAACTCTTGTGCTTGTAAACATAGTCCCACTAGAAACACGTGTAGCGGTACAAAATGGCTCAGCCGTGCTCGCAGAAAATGCTGTCAAAGTTAGTGGGTGTTTGTCGCGTTTGCGGCGACACATTCTCGCCAACTAAAAGAAACAAACATAATCTTTTACAAGGCCATGACTCATCCGTCCGGCCGGACTATAGAGGGAATCACCTTGTTGTTTTTTTTCATATCACTGTATCACCGTTTGGAGTAATCCGATGTTTGTAAAGTCTATAAACACAATGATTGAACAAACATTACTATTTCTGTGTGCACGTTTAGCTGGGCTAACCGTTAGCTGTTAGCCCTGTTAGCCGTTAGCAGTGTCTGTAATAGGTAATAACTCATTAAAAGGTCCGTGAAAAAAATATCTTTTCCAGCGGATATCTTAGTTACAACATAATTGAGCTAGCAAAGCAGTTTTGTGTTGCTATGTGTGGTATTTATTCTCATGTCTAGAAAGCATCAGTGGCTGCAGCTGACAGGGACAGCTAACAGCAGCAGCAAAGCTAACATCAGGATGTCATCTGTTAAAAGCCTCCTGTTGTCGGATACGACATGAAACTACTCCAGTTAGCTCAATAATGTTGTAACTGTGACATCCACTAGAAAAAATATTTTCTTCATGGATGAGCACACGTTTGATAAAACGGAGTTAAATCTCTCGGCATCCATTTTCAAGCTCTCTGTGTGTTTGTTTCCTTGCGGACGAGAAGAGGAGGAGCGCACATTTCCGAGAAGGCGTGTCCTTTTCAAAAATGCAAGAGGCGTTGCTTTGTTGCCGGCCGTTTTCGCTGGTGTGTTAAACACACTTTAGAAAGGAGTGTCCCCAGACTATCAGAAGGCGGAGATCTCTGATTGTCTGGTGGCGAGACTACATGACCACTGCCCCTGGGGGAGTCCTGGGGGGGGGGGGTCTGCGTGCATACTGTTAGCCTCCGCCAGTATTGTCTCTTGTTGCCAATTCTGTTTGTTATAATCATGGACAGAATCTCAAAGCACAGCTGGGGGGAGTAAAGTGTCAAGTTTAGGGACCTCAGAATTGCATTTCTGCTTTTTGAAGATGACGGTTCTGTTGCCTTCATCATACCATGATACCCAGCATGCACTGGGGCAGTTTTCAGCTGAGTGTTAAGTGGTTAGGATGAGAGTTAGCACCTCCAAGTCTGAGGCCATGGTTCTCTGCCAGAAAACGGTGGATCGCCCCCTCTGGATTGGGAGAGTTACTGCCCAAAGCAAAGGAGTTCAAGTATCTCAAGGTCTTGTTCACGAGTGAGGGTAAAATGGAGCATGAGATGGACAGGAGATTTGGCATGGCAACCGCACTGATGTGAGCACTGTGCCAGACTGTCATGGTGAAGACGGAGATGAGCTGAATGGCAAAGCTCTCAATCAATAGTCTATTAAGTCCCGACCTTCACCTATGATCATGAGCTTTGGGTAGTGACTGAAAGAATGATACTCCGGACACAAGCAGCTGAAATGAGTTCCCTCCTCAGAGTGGCTGGGATTAGCCTCAAAGATATGGTGAGAAGCTTGGACATCCAGAGGGAGCTCACAGATGAGCCACTGCTCCTTTGTCTAAAAGGGGCCAATTGAGGTGGTTCGGGCATCTGATCTGGATGCCTCTTGGGTGCCTCCCATTTGAGTTTTTCCAGGCACATCCAACCAGTAGGAGGACCCAAGGTAGACTCAGAAGACGCTGGAGGGATTATATATCCCATTCAGCCTGGGAACGCCTCTGGATCCCCCAGGAGAAGCTGGAGAGTGTCGCTGGGGAGATGGCATCTGGAGTACTTGGCCCAGCCTGCTGCCTCAGCTACCCAGCCCCTGGATAAGCACGTGGATGGATAGATGGATGGATGTTTTCGATAATTATGATCTGGGCAGTTCTGCTGATGGACCCTGCAACAAGCGTTTCTCCTAGAACTGCACGGCCTTACTCACAGCCATACAGCAGCTATAATTTACCAGTTACTTTCTTTTTTAAAGTTGAATCAAAAAACAAATATTATTGTAGCTGAACTTGTGTTAAATTTTAAAAAAAAAAAAAAAGTCATGTGACTAAAAATAGTGCTTATGTTAGTTCAAACTGACAACAACATCAGAGTATGCCAAAATCACCAGTGTCTGAAAATACCTAGGGACCCCAACAACTTGAATATCAATATTGTTACACACCTCAAAAATCCAGTGTTAGTTGGACTCTCTTTGGGGTTTTTTGGTGAGTTTTTCCTTATCCGCTGAGAGGGTCCAAAGGACAGAGGGATGTCGTATGCTGTAAAGCCCTCTGAGGCAAATTGTGATTTGTGATATTGGACTTTATAAATAAAATTGATTGATTGATTGACTCTATCCATAACACCCTGCAAATGACTCCTGATGGCTAATCTGCTGTAACACAGCCCTATAAAAGATGTACAGAAAAGACTGTCTCCAACACCATTGTCGTTGTTCTTTATTACTAGTTTTCTTCCTGCTGTTGGGTTCTGATTATATCTAAGTCTCCATCCTGTTCCATGTGGTGTTACTGTCACATTAGCCCAGTGGCTCTCGTTCTCATCTGTTCTCTGGTTCTACTTTGGTATAAATGTGAGTTAACAGATTATATAGAAAGAGATTGATCGAAATATATGTGTTGGATTTTAACAACCCAACATGATTGACACAATGGATATTAAAGGCACCTCACTGGTCTGCTGTGTAACTCCTGTAAGCAGAGCCATCAGCATGACCTCATATTTAGTTTTCAGTTGTTTATTACTGAAGCCAATGAGTCATTTGTCCCATCATTCACTTGTGTCAATGGATCTGTTGTCCTGTCTCCATATTGCCTGCTATCAATATCCTGCAGAAAAGGAAGATATGCAAAATAGAGCAACTCTCCAACATGCAGGAGACAACAGGCAGCATTTATCAATCTACAGCCAAGCTGCAAATGTTCTTTCCCTGCTCTTTGACACAGCTCCTGCAACAATGTAGTAACTATAGAACACACTGTATTTATTTTGTCTCAAAATGATCTTAAAAGATTTTCAGTGGGTTTAGGGGTTTGTTTTGACAATGTTTAGTGTGTGATATTGGTTGTTGAATACATGATGGCCTTTAAAACCCTGAGGAAGAGATCAACAGACTACAGGGACTACACACTCAGATGACAAACCTAACACATTTTTAAAAACATATTAGTTCCACCTAGTTCATAAAAAACTGTTTTTGCTGAATGCTGTAGAGAGACATGTTAGCTGAGATTTGCACCAAATGTAATTTGGCAAAAGTGGTGGTTTTATTGAGCAAAGACAGCTTCAGTTATACAGCTTGTAATGAATACATCTAAACAACAACAACAACAACAATAATAATAATATTAATAATTACTAGAAAATGCATTCCCTGCGGAACATGCGTGCTGAAATAAAACAAAATGCTGCAAGTGCAAAAATATCAAACAAATTGCCACAAACATCTGAAAATCCTCACAGAGCTGAATGTTTTGACATTTGAATGGAAAGTATGTAGAAGTAGTGATAATTCAAAAAAATGTACAGGAGAAGTAGTAGAAGCAGTACTGCTATCACTGATCTAGATTGTGTGATGTCATCAGTAATGTCACCCACTGTAAGCAGTGCAATACACACCCATTATAAACTCAGAAAATGTCTGAAAAAAACATAAAACTTGAACTGCAATTATATTAAAATGGTAAAAGATATCAAAGAGCTGAATTGTAGCTTAAAAGTTAAAGTTCTTGTGACCTGTTTAAGATTTAAATGCAGCTGAAAGTATGCAGAAGCAGTAGCATTTCAAAGTGGAGTGGGTTGAAGAGGATTTAAAGATTTTCTCCATAAAAATACATTGCTGAAAAAAGCTTAATATCATAAAAAGTATGAATAGTAGAAATATGAAAAGTAATAGCAGAATTGTCATGTAGTTGTAGTTGCTTGTGT